AGACAAGCTGAATCACAACAAATGCGTGTAGCCCTGCCATCTTCATCTAAAATGGCAGACCGTTTCGGAATATCGGATCGGATCGTGCATTCGCGGCCGTTGCAAGTGCTACGTTAGAGGATATGAACTTGGTGTCAGAAACTGACCAATCAAAAGTGGTTGATCGATCAAAAGTTCGCTGATCCTGTAAAAGGGCTAGATCTGAAGCAGTCGAAACATTCAACTCTGAGGACGTGAAGTTAGAATGCATGTTTTTTGATGGCAGGAAGGACTCAACAGTTACTTATGAAAATATTGACGGAAAAAGTCATCGTAGAACTTTGATGGAAGAACATATTTCGATTGTACAACAACCTGGCTCACGTTTCCTCGGGTACTCTACTCCAGAGTCATCAACAGCCCTGACAATTCAAAAATCATTGTGCTCTTTTTTACAGACACATCGTATTAATTCTGTTCACTTGGTCGGCTTAGGGTGTGATGGGCCCAACACCAACACAGGTATCCATGGTGGTGTAATAAAAAAAATGGAGGAGGTGTTATTGCGCGCCCTTCAATGGATCATTTGTTTATTGCACTTCAATGAACTGCCTTTGCGACACATAATTGAGAGAATAGATGGCCCTTACTCGGGACCAAAAGAATTTTCGGGTGCACGGGGAAAGCAGCTCTCAACTTGTCACACTTTGCCACACTTTAAGTTGTAAACAGTTTCCTATTATACAACATGAACCAACTCAACAAAGGCCTGAAATATTTGAACCACAGAAAGTTCCGAGAATCACTAATTACGCAGCTGGTGGGTGACGTTCGAAACTCACCCGTAAACTTGAAACGTGGGAGGAGATCAACTGCTGACAATGAGGAAAGGTTGAATGGTCGTCAGCACTTTGTTAGCAGTCATCCAAACTCAAAATCTAAGGACTGTGCTGTGTGCAGTGACCGGAAAGTGCGTGGTGGCCGGAAAGAGACAGTCTTTTTTTGCAAAACTTGCACAAAAAAACCCGGTTTACACCCTACAACATGCTTTGAAAGGTATCATACTATGAAGAAATTCAAACTTACTCATCCTAATGCCAATATCAATTGAAGAAACCAATAAAATGTAAGTAGTTTTCTCTAAATTTGAGTTCTTATCATTTATTCCTGAAATACCTTAAAATCAGCCAGATTTAATTACGACCTGGCGGGGTAGATGGGGAAATTTTTTTACGAATGAAAAGGGTTAAGGTGCCCACATCAACTATGTTTTAAGACTTACCATTGCTTTCTAAAGTTTGTTCTTACTATGTGTTATCTTATGAAACAGAATTTTAGAAAAACTTCTGTACTTGTTACTTGATTTAAATGTAAATATGTTGGAAAAAAAACTCTTTTCTAATAAATTTACAGTGACCTGAACGATTCGAACGATTAGGGTGATTTTCTTTATTGTCATTTCTTTTATTTGTGTTCGGGCCGGTCGGCTAGCCCTTTTCATTTCATTTCTAAATCTCAGTCTTTATTCTTTTCATGCTCCCTTTTTCTTCAGTTGCTACAGCAGCACCATTTCAACTTGTTTGATTCCATTAGCGTTGCTAATCTCCCATCATCTAGTATGGATTATGATTCTGATTCTGAGTAAGCTCTACTTCTGCTTCTGTTGTAAATCTGAGTTTACTTTGTCTATTATCAATAATTCGTATTTCATCCCTATTTGATTTTGACAATTGTAAATAATTTGACTAACGTTCTCCTATCAAACCAGGAAAGCNTTAGTTCTTCATTTACTGTTTTCTTTGTTTTACTTGTTTGTTAAAATTTTGTTACATTTATTTGATGTTAAATTTTGTTCCATTAAATTATTTGACGAGTGTTAAGCTCATAAATTTGTATGAATTTCATGAGGCTGTTGCATTAATAAATATATTATTATTATTATTATTAAAAATTTATGCTACCAAACTAAGCGAAGATGATGTGGAGGAAATTAATGAAGGTTCCTTTGAAATACGATATTTAGGACCTGAGGGTCTCTCACACAAATACACTCTTGTAAAGGGGAAAAAAGATGTTAAAAAATTAGCTAAAAAAGTAATAAAAAATAAATACAGCCCTCAACATGACCGTGTCTCAACCTCAAAAATGGATCTATCCAGGCGGTTTATCATCTAAATACAATTTTTGAATCTAGGATGGGAGGTAATATATTTCAATCACTTTTATCATCTAAATGAACTTCCACCTTCATCCTCTATCTTCACCTTCGGCAAAAAAGAAACAACTACACCCGATTACCCTGTTATTGCTTACAATTCTGTTCCTGCGAGCCTTCCTGAGAGTCTGTCTGACCTTGTCAAGAATAAAACGTACCCGCTTCTAAAACTGGAAAAGTTAGAAACTCATTTTGGAGAGGGGATCCTTGCCTCTCTGCTTGTTAAAAATAATGTTCGAAAGATATATTTACCAAAAATTTATGCTACCAAACTAAGCGAAGATGATGTGGAGGAAATTAATGAAGGTTCCTTTGAAATACGATATTTAGGACCTGAGGGTCTCTCACACAAATACACTCTTGTAAAGGGGAAAAAAGATGTTAAAAAATTAGCTAAAAAAGTAATAAAAAATAAATACACCCCTCAACATGACCGTGTCTCAACCTCAAAAATGGATCTATCCAGGCGGTTTATCATCTAGATACAATTTTTGAATCTAGGATGGGAGGTAATATATTTCAATCACTTTTATCATCTAAATGAACTTCCACCTTTTTAGATGGCAGCCGCGCTCTTTAATATATTTTATACATAACTTTTTTTTTTTTTGTAATTAATCTAATTGTACTGTACTAACTGTATAAAGTTTTACGATTATTTATTGCCGACAATAATTGAGGAGAGAAACCCTCATAAGGCAGCCTTCTTGAAACTTCAAGAGACCGAAACTCCGATGGAACAAAATCGAAAATTACTACCATCAACTTTAATTTTGTCAAACCTGCCATACGGAAATCTCTTGGGGGCTCTTCTGGATACATCAACTATAAGCTCCGGCTAATATAATGTAATGTAATAGAATGTAATTAATAATATGTATTGTGCAAAGGCTACCATATTCCTTGTAATTATAATATGTGCAACAACCATCAATATGTTCAAATATCAACTTGGCTTTGAAAACTTATTAGCTATTATTTTTTGATATGATAAAAATTTTGTAATGTTTAGCGTATCGATTTGTTACCTTCGTGTATTGTGTAACTGTTTTTTTGTATCGTATCTTGTATCTCTTCATTTAAAGGGAGGAATAACGATTTCTTGAAATTTTCCTCCGACCTATATCCATTAGACAGCTTTAAAATTTTCAAAATTATGAATTGAGCAGCTAGGGCCACTTTGTTTGGCGAGTGAATGAATAATAGAGCCCAATTCACACACTGAAACCAAATTCAGCATTACAACTCCACAATTTTACCACTTAAAGTTTAAAATTTCCATGCCTTGCAGTCAAAACCCACCAATAATCGATGTGAACACGATCAATCTTGAATTTTTCTAGTAAAGGAATGTCCTCACATAGGAAATATACGTATGCTTGCTTGTCTCCTGAAAGAGCATCTTTGCCTGCCTCCACCCTTCATCATTGCTGACCTCTGCTTTTAAAAATTCTAAAATGCAGCCCCTTGAAATCATGGTTAACATTATTACAGCCAGGGCCCTTCATTTTCAAGATGAAAGAGCGGCTAACAGCGTAACTATAAAGGGAAGAATTCTGCTGAGCCGAGGAAAAAGAAGAGCGGCAAAGCCAAAACAATTAAAGAAATACACCTTCACGGGTGACATGACCGATGATAGTACAAAATTTAATCGCAATGGTACTATTTTGGAAAATGGACCAGATGAGCAGTGGTTTTTTTCACCGGAAAATAGGATTAATTTTATTTTTGCTGGCCGCAAATGCAACCAAATTTTGGATGAATTGGAGGGACCGGATACCCTGATTCAAAAAGATGAGTTGGAGTTGAGCGTCTTGTTATCAATCCAAGTAGACAGAACCTCTGAACAGGATGTATTAGATGCAATAAACGATTACTTGGGTAATCTCATCACAACTAAAAATAGAGGGAAGGACGCCTACGTTTTAGGTTTTAGGAACATCGTCCCAGGTTGAGTCCCTTTATACAGAGACCTTGAAGAAGTCTCCTTCTCTTGCGAACTCCTCAGCTTAAAGTTGAATGTGGAGCAAGTTAATGAAGGAAAAGTGGCTGCTAATAAGCGAGGAAAATCTCTTGCAGTGAAGGTAATGGATACCGTTAACATCCAGCTACCATGGGCCCCTGGTATCAAAAATGGCGAAACCATGAAGGTGAAAATTACAGAGTAGGAGAGACACTTTAGCATATTTGTATACATCTGATGGTGGCTCCTTTTCCATCTTATAGAATGGACCACTAGACAAGGTACGAATTTAAGCACTCTGATACATGTTTCTTAATCAGAATTTCACGTAGAGCACGATTCACGCAACAAAAACTACTGAAACAAACTCCAAACGAAGATATTAACGTTTTTATTTCACACTGGTTACGAGGAATTTGAACTGCCCGCTGACAAGAAACTCAAAGCTCTACGTGAGTCAAATCCCGCACTACATCGGTTTCAAGAAGCTTCTTAATCGAGTATTGTTCATTTTCCACCATATGTTGTTTAAACTATAGGCAATTTGCTACAACTGAGCCAAAGCGTCGAGATTGAGGTTGCTAGATTTTTATATCGCAGAGACTGTCATGATAACGCTTAGCGCACGATGTGAATCACGCAGAGCATTGAGTTTTCATGAGCAGGTGGTTTGAATTCACGCATCAAGAATCATTAAATATCTTAGGAGGGAGTTGATTATGGTAATTTTCGTTGTGCACGTCGTATTCTACGTAAAATTTTAGTTAAGAAACATGTTACAGAATGCTGAAATTCGTACCTTCTCTAGTGGTCCATTCCAAGGGAGAAGGAATCATTGTAGACAGTGGATTCTTGAAGAGAGGTTACGGAGAACAAAAAGATTTATTTTCTGGAGGAGGCTCACTTTTTGTAATAGCTTCAAATCCACAGAGCGCAGAATATCATTTTACATCCAGTTCAAGTGAGCAGGAATCATCACCTATAAAAGGCGACTCAATTCAGATGATACTGGATGTGCCACTGACTCTGGCGGTCAATCTCGAAAACTATATTTATGAAATAGTTGAAAATTTCTATGAAAATATATTATCAGATATTTAAAAAAAAAATATATTGCCACACAGGCACAGAATGCAGGTAACCAAAAGCAAAATGTGCCTCATTTTGTTTACAGACCATCCTAGGCGGAAACAAAGAAACTATCCAAGAAAGCCCAAACAAATGTTTTGTTCATAAAAAAGGTAATTCTTGTGGAGAGAAATCGAACTGGCACAGAAGCCCCAGCTGGTATGGAAGACAAAATAATCTTACTTCAATTCTCTAAAGAAATGACGCACTTAGAAGAAATAAGTAAACTGAAGAGTGAATTCAATATTCAAGAAGAAGACGAAATCGAGTTTTTCGAAACATCAAACAGGAAATTAACACCTGTCTCTTTTGGAAAAGAAGTGGAAGTCAATGGCTATATTCTGAGTGAAGTTTTTACTAAAGATGTGATCTATTTAAAAGTAAATCCAAAATTTTCTGCTCCAACAACTTTCACTGCAAATATTGGAACATTAAGCAGAGTTCCTTCATCGACTGCAGCTTTTTCAGCTATCGCAGTGTCTTCATCGCATGGAGCTAGCTCTTCAAATTGACCGTCTTTATTGCTTGGGGCTACCTCTTCAAGTCGACCTCAAAAGGTGAAGAATGTCTTCCAAAGGCGCAAACACGAATTTCAACAGATAAAAAACTTCTTCCGTGTTCAACAGACAAAAAAGAATGAAAGAAAAACCAAATACGTTCATTCTTTTTGCCTCTGGTTCAACCACTGACCATATGAAAAGAACACAAACCAAAGCACTTGACATACGCTATGGCTATGACTTAACAGCATAGGCAAGAATATCCAGTTAGAGACCTTGCAAAAATATTCTCGGAATTAAAACATTATGGGCTTATTCTTACACTGATCTATCACATAAGCGGTGAATCTTTTCAGGAATTTTGGGTATTCCCGTTTGTAGACTGCTCTCAGGACAGATGCAGGAGCCCAACCGCCAGGATTCACTGCGGGAACAAACAAAATTACAGACATTAGATGATATGATTTCCTTCAATTATTAAAATGCCCACTTTGCCACCTATAAAAATTCGATATAAGGGCTTAAATTCTGGGCAGAGCTCTTTTATGGGTCTTCGAAGAGATTGAGGTCCAGGGAGCGCCAATTTTAGAAAATCGATTTTCTTTGGAACATCCTCGGGAATTGAGACATTTTCCAGTAAAGGGGCGTATGAGACTTCAAATGCTGCTGATTGTGCAAACAGGGTGTCTAGTTTTTTTTTTCATTTTGGGAAATCCTGATTTTTGACTGCTAAATCCTGATTTCATAATTTTTCCAAATCCTGATTTTTTGAGAAACAGGCGAATGTAACTTCATAAAAATAGCTTGATGAGAAAATCCGATCAGACAGCCAACTTTTCTCAAATCCTGATTTTATGACTGATTTTTCCTCAAATCTTGATGAAATCCGGATTAAATCCTGATTGACCTCGAACCCTTATACAACCAGGAAAATCCTGATGCTAGATACCCTGGCAGAGTAGTTCTATAGTTGTAAGTAACTCATCCGGAGTTCTGCTATGAATTTGTCCATGAATCTGCTCTGAGTTTTTCCTCACTATTGTAAAGAAGTAAGTCGTCTGTGAATGAATTGCATCTGCCACAAACGCTATGAATAATTCCACCATCTTAGCAGTATTGCAAGCCATATGCCTTTTTATCGGAAAATGCCGCAATTATTAATTGGAATTTTTTTTTATACGATAGAAAATTTTTCTCTGTGTATCTTGGTAAAAATAAGAAGCTTCAAAATTAGTTACGGAATAAATCTACTATGGCATGAGGTGAAACCAACAAAATTAAATACTGCTGCCTTAGCATTGAACACCACCAGAAACATATTGATGGCTAAAGTTGAAAAATGCATAGGCATAATACACTACGAAGCTGTTAGTCTCTGCTCATATTTTATTTTTCCATAGAAAAACTGATCAGCAGTTGTTGGTCAATTTTCTTCGTGCACTCTCAAAAAATCACAGAAAATTGCTAGGAAGCATTTTAAATAGTTTTTCTTCAGGAAGATACGACATAATCAGAAATTTTTAGACATTGTAATCGAGATACGCATTTTTTGTACGTAGCTTTCAGTTTAAAAAATAAAAACGCAACAGTAGCAAAAACAGTAATGAAGCTGTAAAGCTTTAGAGAGCTATAAAAGATGCATTGTTCATTTGGGCTTTGCCTTTGGATTTTTTGATGAAAAATAAGTCCTCCTCAGAAAAAGGGTTTGAATAGAGGCGATAAACCTATTCAGATTTGGACTAATAATAAGAATGATGATGTATTCCTCTTGATGGTAAACTGGCACAAAAGATAAATAATGTCAACCATAGAACTTACCTACAGAACAGTACGTTATTTTACAAGTCAAATTATCTCTGGTTATACTAGCTCCTTCTTTCGGGGAAGACACTATCGTTTGACAGAGAAGGCAAACTGTCAGGAACAGCCGTATACACTTCTTGTTGTCCGGCTGAAAATAATATCATAACAGCCATATTAATAACCATCATGAAACTTGATCCTTACAAAAAAACGAGAGTGGCATGAATGGATTATTTTTTAATGAAACTAGGCAAAATTCATAGCTACATTGGATTTCCATAATTTTTTCATTTTTCAAGACTCTGACTTCTTTTGCTTTTCCCTCATTTCAAAATCTCCAGTTTCCCTAAGTGTCAGTAACAATTCCCTAACCTTCAAACGAACCTTTCACTTACATTTTTTCTTTTCTTCTAATGGAGAATTTGCGGGTGTCTGAAATCGTGTAAATTCCATGTTTAAAATGAATTTACTACAAGAGCTGAGCATGGGGATGAACTCGGTTCCTAAATTGAAAAATTATTGGAGAAAATATCACAAAATAATCTAATCTGGTAAAATTCATGTGCTTAAATGAGAAACACCCCCAAATGACATCATAAGGCGGCACATAATTTTACTTTAAATCTGTTTTCCTACAATTTCCCAGTTCAGAATAAAATTATGAAAAATACTGCGAACTCAGCTCATCAAGCTTTCTCATGAGAAGGGATAAAATTTTTTGGTGCAAATTTTCCATTGCTTTGACTTTTACTAAACTTCACATTATGCGGACAGTGGAAATGTTTTTCCAAATTTCAAGTTTTAAAATTTGTCAAACTGTTTGTATTTTAAGTGGAATACTCTCACAATTCTCGGTTTTCCAGATCTGGAAACATCCTGCAGCACCCCTGCACAGGTGTTCAGCCCCATTTTTCCAAAGAGAAATTGACTGCATGAAGAGGTGAGAGTTACAGTAATTTACATAGAAACAAATTACCTGACCACTTGGTATCATTCATAATGGCAATGAATCAAACCTAAAATTTAAGGCATTTAGGCACTGGGCATTAATGTTAAAAAATAAAATTGACAGGTTTAAATCCTTATGTTTTTTAAACTTAATGGAATGTATTAAAACAATGAAAAGATGAAAATAATGAGTTACTTATTGAGTAGTTAACTGCATCCTGCGAATGCAGTCTGATTATGTAAAAAGAAAAAATTATTAATTTATCAAGGGTTCCAGTCTTTCGTAACACTGCAAAAAATTACTCATGAACTTACCGGATGCTTCGGTAATTCAGTGGAATTATTTACAACGATCCAGATATCACGAACACCTGGCTCGTTTGGAGGCACCTGTCGAATGTGGGACCAGAACAAAGCATCACGCTGCGTCGCTGGCCAGATACGTTTGTGCAATTGTAAAAAAATTAACGTATCGTCCGATATATTTTCTACAACAGTCATATGCTCTAGTGTGGCTAAAAAACAGAGGATTCACATCATAAAATTAGAGTTGTGCGTTTATTAGCCCATTAACTTACTGATTAATTGGGCTATAATATGCAAAAATGAGTAACTTTGCACCTTTCAAAATGATTCTAAAGCTTATTTCCTAAGGATGAGAATCGAAATATTGAGCATTCTTAATACTGTCATGGTAAGGAAAAACACTAAAAAAATTCGAGAGTTGTCATATTTCCTCAAGTAAAACGCTTGTTTTTAAGGAGAGTTAAAATTTCTCTTAAAACTTTCACATAATTTAGATCTGATGGCGAATAAAATTCTCTGAAAAGTTGAAGGAGGTATATCAACAAATTTCCCGGAAAATTCTAGATCTATCAAAGGAAATTTAGCAACGTCTGAAACCTCATACAGCGTTTTACCTTAGCAAGGTAGAATACGCTCTTTCAGGAGACAATGGGAAAATATATTTTCGAGTTTTTACAATATTGACTTGCCTTCTTAGTAACAGAATCAAAATAACATTCTGTCCGATAAATTTCAAATCCACAAACCTATTTATAGGTAATTCATTCCTTTTTCAGCTCTACAGGTTCACACTTAAAATGCAGATTTGTGACAAGAATGAGACTAGGAAAAATGACTAAACTTACTTTCCCAATCATATCGATACTGGGGACTAAAAAAGTAGTGGCACATTTCGTGGGCTGTGACACCTTTGACAACGTGACACGCTTTCAACGGATCCACAACAAGTCCATTAACTTCTTCTTCTCGCCTGTACATTTTCATCTCGCCTTCTTCCGCGAACAAATGCCAGGCATCATTGCCCAAGCCCATCTGAGCATACTTAATTTGTTCCTTGGTTACTCGTTCGATCTAAAACACATTGAAAAACCTTTAGCAAAGAGTGTTACGATCCTGAAGTTATCGCTCATCCACTGACATTGTAATGAGCTCCATTTACACTCGGGTGAAAAATTTGGGTTTTTCAATTACAGATGGCAGCATGTGTAATCATCTTCTTAAGACGCATAAATTCTAAGGTTTCCTCCATGAGGGGACTGAGGTAAAAGTCCAAACAGAAACTTACAAATTAGGTTGTTTTTTGAGGGGGAGGATGGGCAGCATCTGATGCTTTGAGCATTTTTTCCTTTCCTCTTAAAAAAATGCTTTCAGTCCTGAAGGGACTATAAACAACTCTTAGATACTATGAAATTAATTTTATTTGTCTCCTTGTTTATCAATATTTAAGCACTGTGCTTATAAATCGACACTTTCATATAATTTATTGAATCTTACTTGTCTCATCCACATGTAGTATTTTTGGAACACATTTTAAAATAGGAGTAAAATACATCCCATGTGATGACTGCAATATTGAAAAAAAATGATCTGTGAGTCACTGACCTCAGGCCACAATCTATGATATTCAGCTGAGCTGGCTGTTTTTTCATCATTGACAACATGGGTAACGTTGTTGTTGGAGTTTTCTGAGAGGACAACGGACAGTTGCTGCTTAAAAGCTTGTCGGTTTTGTGCTTCTTCTTCCATTTTATCAAGCTCCGTTTCAAATGCGTCATAAAATTCATCATCCGCTAACGTGCTATGAGGTCCCTCCTACACAATCAATTACAAATCAGTAATCCAGAAAAATAAAAAAAATGTTCCAACTCTCATTTTTAACCTAAGAATCTTTAAAACCTGCCTGCACACAATGCTGGTAACAACTGTTAAGGTAGATAAATATTTTGCAACAGGAGTGAATCAAAGATACTTCGGACAAACGATAGAAGTTTGAGTGGCTAAGATAAGATAAAACTTGTCAAGACAAAGGACAATTTTAAAAATACAAAACAAAAAAAAAAAAAAAAAACAACCAGTTGTGCCTAATAGAAGCTTGCACAGGTTTTGAAGTGTTCTTTTTCTCACTCGACTGCATCTGCTCACTCCAGAGCTTTCGAAATATTAACAATGACCCATCAAATTTGTTTCAATGGCTGACTTCATTCATCCGTGATTATCTAGTCATCAATGACATGTGAGGATTCAATTTGTTTTATTGCTTCAATTTTTTCATGACACTAAGAGAAGGTATAGGGTGTTTCAAAAGGAAGTATCCAGCCTGAGAATATTTTGAACACATTCGAATTTTGCGAAACGTCGAGACATGCATTCAATATTTTTAAGGGAACCCACAATAATGCAAATGTGCGGAAAAAATGTCCCTCTCAAAAATATTAAACACGTGTTTCTGAGTATTTCGTTATTCGAATTCGCACAAAAGATATTCAAGGTAGATACTTCCTTAACAACTTAAACAACTCTGTATAAAAAGCATAAGGAGAGAGAAGACTAATAAAGGAATGATGGTGAGTGGGTTGCATCAAGAATATATCAAAGAAATGTTGTAAATATTCTGTAGTTAATCATTAACCTTTGAGCATTGAAATAGGTCAGCTGCACTAGTCATAGAATTATGTTTTTATGGTTTAGGCTTGTCGATAAGCAGAAATAATAAGATCTGTCCAAACACCAAGTTTTTACATCTAATATTAACGGAGTTAAACATAGTGTATGACAGCATTCAACGCAGTAGTGCATACCATGGTTTCTTCCACCTTAGTTTCATCGATCAGGGATACGCTTCTTTGTACTGGTATATCGACTTAAGACACTGACCAAGGTGGGAAAAACCACAATATGTGCCATTGCGGTAGACGGCGTCATGCGCCGTGTTTTTTTAAGGGCTAAATCTCTTTTAACAGCGGATGTGGAAACTTGGCATATAAACAGATCATGTTCAATTTTGCTAATCTGTAACCTCAAACCACCAAAATACGATTTTCAGACTAGCGCAACTGTGCCATTCTCAGAAGCAGTGAATTAAGCGGTTCTTGAGAGGAGATATTTATTTTTAAAAACATATTATGGTAGCAGAATAAAGCCTTTGAAATAAGAGTGTCCTGACTATCATTCATGGTATGGAAATTAAAAAGGTACACCAGCGTGGTAAAATCAAAAGGAAATACCTTCCTAAAAAATCTTGAGGAGTCAAAGCTCAGCGTTGGAATTGATAAACTGGTTAATTCACGACTGAATTTTGGTAAGTGATTTTTTGAAAAGATTAAAGAGGCACATTTTGAGGGGACAACTTCAATTTCTTAGCATGCTGATGGGAAAAATGGGCTATTGGAAAATATTTTTTTTTCGTTGAATACACATTCGACAGTCTTTGGGACTTTTGGACGTTTCCTGGGGGTCCTCAGACTTCGCTCTCTCTGGCTCTGAGCTGCGATTTCTTCTTTCAGGGTGACGGTATGACTTCTGACCCCTCACTGGACGAGGAGACCTTTTTTCTTGTTTACAATTATGTTTTTTGAGTGACTCATGGTTTTTGACATAGGGTGCATTTTCGAAGGGCTCCTGAGATAAGTAACGGTCTGGATCTTGTGGAGAGAGGTACTGGTTGTACAAGGAAAAAATTAGAAAGGGAAAGGGACATACAGAAACAATTGGTGGAAAAATTATAAGGTAAAAATTTGGTTGAAAAAAAAGTTTTTCATTAAAAATTGGCTGGTTTGAGGAACTTGAGGTAAAAAATTTAAAAGCTGAAAACTGATTCAGTGAGAGAGAGGGTGAGATTTTCTCAAGGGCGTATCCATTTCATTCTATTTAATTAAAATTAATGCAATTATGACAAAATTAATTTTCATTGGGAGTTTCAGGAAATAAAATCAGATCAAGAATTCACACGAAGCTTTAAAAGCAGTTCTGGCAAGCTATTCAGAAATGTTTCTTTCAATGGAGAATTGGCACCAAAAAATTTTTACTGCTTCATATGAGAGTACTTGATGAGCTAAGTTTACAGTTTTTTTACAATTTTTTGTGAGGAATAGGAGAAAAATAGATTTTAAGAGAGAAAATTTTCAACTTTGAGATGGCATTTTCCATTAAAATACAAATGTTATAAAGGGATAAATCCTTGGGTCATAACTCCTCCAATGATTGTTCTATGTAGAAACTAAAAATATTCTCTCTCTTGCTTTGCTGCCTGGTTTCCATTTCGAATGGAATGCATTAATTTCAAACACGTACAAATTATTCATTCAACTGAAGCCAATAGCAGAACTACCACAGTTTGGTAAATTAAAATTTCTACTGCACAATAAGGATTCTGTTCAATTTTGGAGAAATTATTTTAACTCCATCCGTACCTCTCCCTGTAACACAAAACTCCAAGAATGAAAGCAAAGGAAATGAAACTCATACGATAAAATTGCTGTGTGAGTTTTATTTTTCCTTGCACATTCCTTTCACCTCTTGCTCTATTTTCAGATACTTTTGAGATGATTTTTCTCATTTACGGATAGATATAATGATCAATAAGAATGTACAAGAGGAAAGGTATAATGAAAGAAGGAGATATCACTCGCGCAAAAACTGAAATATTGTCTCCAAACACCAGGAATTAGAGGATACATTAAATTAGTTTGGATGATTCTTATTAGATTGAAACATCGAGATAGTAAAAAATCATTTATAGCCCCTATACTTCCTTCTTTGAGGAGAGAGACGCTTAAAAACTATTGAAACTTACTTCTAAGTCTGGAGGTGATGCAATTTGCGTACGCAGAGTGCGAACCATCTCCTCTAACTTGCGCCTTTTTTCTTTTTCATGTTCAACTTTGCGATACCACAAGTCATCCCGCTGTCCCATAACATCGATACAATTTTGCAATCTATCAAGTACAGCTTCAGTTGTTGCTTTAAATGTTAATGCCTCCCCCTTGACATCAAACTGTTTCACTGAAAAAATGAGAAAGAAATATTAAATGGATAACTTCTATTCATTAGTAAAATAACCCTAAAGAACCGCACATGGAAAAAGTTCAAAGCTACTTAAACAGGTGCTCAATTGCATGTAAATTGCGGCGCGCTTAAAGAATGGTTGCTGCTTCAGGAAATCAGAAGCATTGAGGATGCCAGAGTGTGGAGCTGACAAAACGCAAGTGAGTACTTATTTAGGTGGTGTCAGAAGGAAAACTCGGTTCTCAGTGAAAAGCAAGATGAATTGTTGTTCAGATCCACTTTTGAGTGGAGAGAAAATCCGAACCATAACCTTCTGCAAACTTGAGAAGACTGCTTTTCGTACCTTGTCAGAGGAAGAGATAAATTTTTAAATGTATAAAAAATAGATAAATAAAATGGGTTGAATTGATGGGAGAGCTGAATGAAAAATATAAAATTAAAGCCGAAAGGGTTATATTGTAAGAATTTTGAAAAGTTAAAAGTTTTACAATAGATGAGTCACACTTAGTCTGAAGGGCTGAAAAAGGCGGTACATGTGTATACACGGGTCTAGGGTGGAATGGACCTAGAAGTGCACGCTTTTATAGACTCGATGACATCACAGGTGGTGAGACTTTGAGTCTGTACGTAATTGCCTGGCTATAATCAGTGGAGCTATCAGTTGGACGTATTTCTGTCGAATGGAACTATGTGCATAATGACGTCAGCCCTGTTATGCATATATTATTATGGGTCTTGGGGCTCATTTCTAACTGCACATAGTTCCGTTTGGCAGAAATACTTCCAGTTGCAAGTTTAGTCATTAATTTTATGGGTAATGGCTGAATGATAGGGTAGAAAAGATGAAAAGTGAACTGAATCTAGCCACCCTTAATGACGAAATTAAAGTAGAAGTAAAATTTAGGTTTGAATAAAAAAAAAGTCAAAAAAATTATGGAAAGTGTTGACTGGCGGTTTTGAAAAAACAAGGCACTTGAGTCATTTTTAAAAAAGACTGGAGTTCATTTCAGTACTTTTCAACAAAAATAAATAAGAATACAGCAACGCGGTGACTTACTTTGTTTCAAAACAAAGCCATTTAGGTATGCCATTTAAAAAATAAAACTGAAAGTCTTTTTTGTATAAAAAAAAAGGTTTATAAAACAAAATAACTTGAGATCACTTACAACCTTTTCAACAAAATATGCACAAGAATGGAAATGGTGGAAGACTCAAATCGTTTTAAAAATGAAAGTCACTTAAACTATTGCATAAAGTCAAGACAACCTAGCTGACACCATATAGAGAGCCGCGATGAATGGAATCACATGGCTATTTAGATTGACATAGAAAATATGTAAGTCCAGAGATACCTGTGTGACATCATGAGTTGAACCCTCAAATGACATCGTACGCGGCTATTATCGATGGCTGTATCAGTTGGAGAATATCTGTAGCTGTTATCTGTCGCATCAAAAATACAAAGAGCACCCCCAGGAGTAAAAGAGGACATGGTCCTACGTCAAAAAAATGTCGGACCATAGACCTTGGAGGTCAGTTTACATGAAAGGATAAAAGTAGGAAAAAAATTTCTTTTTACCTTGACTTGGGTCAAAATTGTTGGCACCTAGCTGGTTCTCATAGAAATTTTGGAGGTCATCTATTTGTTTGCATAAAATATCCTTGTACGTGCAGAGTTCCGCAACTTTTTCCTTCAGTTCTGTAGACAGTCAATCCCACCCGTTGTTCAGTTAGAGGCAATAGTTTAGCAGATAAACAGTTTTAGGGAACAATGTGGCAATGGTGAAACAACAAAAAAACGAATCTTGATTGCTGTGTTTTAAAATTTCCGCTCACATTTTTTGAGCCGTTTTTGTCAAAAATTATTGGGCTTCGAGAATTTCCTGATTTTGCAGGTTTTTCAGACCTCCAGAGCCTTTGATAATGCTTCAAGAGTTATAATTCAGTAGTTTTTAACCTTTGACTGAGATTATGCATTTGAGAGTTTGGAATGCTTAAGACATTTTCAAGATCTCTTTGAAATTCTCCCTAAAGTCAAACCTTTGAGATTGAGAGGTTAAATATAGACCCATTAAGTTGACTGGACAAGTTATTAATGGAGCTTTTTGATTCTAGGACAAAAATCAATAGTTTGACATCCTCTTCCCCATGATTCATGCTGTTAGGAACTGTGAAGACCCACCCTTCATCTCCCACCCCCATTCTCACCACCACCCCCTCTCTCCACCTCACCTTTCCTGCCACCATTCAATTTATCTTGTCGGAGATATTAATTTCTCTCTTAACCCCATGCCCTTTTAGCAGGCTTGGGTCCTTGGCCTTTGTTTGTTTGTCCATTATTGGCTCAGTGGTATAGTTTGAATCATCTTTCAGGGGAAGCATTTATTTTTATCTGGGGNTGGGGGGGGGGGGGGGGAGGCGGCTAACTTTTGACTGCATTGTCTCATTGTTTGGGTGGGAGGAAGGATACAAACTCTGTAACAAGGAAGGTGGTTCCCTGGACTGTAGCTCAGTACTTGATTACCCTGTCAGAAGTTTCTAGATTTTTAAACTTTTCAATGAGAAATATCTAGGACGTAAAAATTAATTTGTATTGTGCCGGATTATGGACAAACAATTTGAAAAATTATAGGACTCTGGTCTGGACAGAATTTTACAAAGTTTAAAGGTCAAAATATGTAGAAATATGGTAAGTGATCCCAGATAAGACTCAGATTACACTGATACTAAGAAAACTACTTTAAGAAATTGTTCCTGTCACGTTTAAATTTTTCTCTTTCATTATTAAAAGTTTGAATGTTGTACAATGTACTTACAGATTAGAGATCTTTTGTGGTTTTGATTCTTTTTTAAAGTGTATTTTCTGAGGGCAATACACCATTGCATTTTCTTTCGCTCCTAAACATTTTTCACGATTTAAAGAATTTTCAGAGTTCTATACAAATTATAAATTATACATATAAATTCGTTTTTAAGCCTTTTAAAGGAGGAAAATTCCAAGTACTAGGGGGAGGGGGGGGGGGCTTTCTTCCTTTTTGTCTTATGATGGAACTAATTAGGAGTTTGGGTTTAAAAAGTAGAGGAAGGCTAGGGAGGAAGAACTCTTAATCATCCATCATCACATTTTTTTTTCCTTTTAGCAAAAGGGAAAACATCAAAATATTGCATTTCCAGTGATTAACACCGACGAACAAAAACTGAAAAAACTTACAGAAGTTACAATACCTAACTTACCTTTATCTTTGAATAAATTGTTAATTGAAGAGGCTGATAGATTATTAGATGCAAGAGAGAGACCACTTCCATACCTCCTTAAGTTGCTTTCACTACTGTACCCAGACTCTAACTGTATAAAAAAAAATTAGACATGACATGAGTAATGGAGAATTTGCAAGGGTCTGAAATTTGATGAATTTCCTGTTTAAGTGGAATCCTCTGAGTGAACCGAACACGAAGATACTCTTGATTCATAAATTGAGCGATTATTAGAGGAGATATGACAAAATAACCGATTCTGCTAAAATACATGTGTTTAAATGGGAAATGCCGCCGGATGACGTCACAAGGCGGCGCATTTTCTCACTTTTAAATCAATTTTTCTCCAATTTCCCATGTCAGAAAAAAATTATGAAAAATATTGCGAACTCAGCTCATTAGGCACTTTCAGATGAAGCAATAAAAAAATTGCGTGCAAATTCTCCATTGAAGTTTGTGCGATGCAATGATGTATTTCAGCTTTGTTTTTGTTTCAAGTATTTATTTCCACCTAATGATGGCGTTTTATAGTCAAGATAGGTAGCATATATGACTGTTTTCGGTAATTTACGTATTTTGCTACATGAAGGATTATAAGAAAGAACCAGTTAAAAAATCACTCATTTTAAAGGTGATTATATAGCCAGGTTACCTCACCTAGAATTGATTACTTACAGTGGATTCAAAATGATGAAGAATCAGAGTTACAAGCATCGCCACTACTTAGGACTACTTAAAAGCAGGAGATGGATTGTTGCTGAAAGTATTTCTACACGATGCCTCATGAAAAGCAAGTACTTGTGTATCAAGTATGACATGTGTGCTTGATGGGTTAAATCAGAGCACCTTCTTCAATATTTTTTTTCTTACTGGACTGCTAACAACTAGGGAAACCTACGACAGACATGGGTACAGGTACGGCCATAGATAGACTATCCGCTCCGTCGTTCAAAATCACATGGATTCAAATAGGCAATACTGTAATTGTCAGTCTAGTTGCCCTTACTTTTGGTCTGTTTTTTGAGGTTGGATTGATTGTTCTGAGGTGCTCTAAACTTGGGAATCTCAAAGTTTTGGCGACAGTAGATTGGCAAGTTTTTTTTAAAAAAAAAAGACTTGCTCAAGGAAGTGTTTCCATGCGCTTTAAATCATGTGACCAGTCAATATGTGGACAGGAAAGCTCTCTTAGTTTCTTATTTGGCAACCCTACAGTACATTGCAAGAATAGTCCATTTTTAAATTGGTCGATCGCCTCTCAGTGTAAGACCAGAAGGCTGGTAATAACGTTTATTCTATGTTACTCTTCCATCAACCATGGGAAAATTCAGGATTAATTTTACTTAAATTCATACACCTCTTCTACCAGTCTGAGTAATTTTTTGAAAATTCAGAAAAGCATGAATTTATCAAATAGAGTATTCTATTCAAGATTAGGGCTTAAAAGGTTGCCGAGAAAGCAACATGAATATTACAAACTTTTCTCGTACCTTACAAAGTTCCAGCAAGTCTACGAAATGTTGCTTCTCTTCAGGAGTATCTGCTCGAAGATACCAAACGTTGTCATTCACAGAGACATCAAATCGACACTCATCAAATTCATGAGGCTGCACAGAAAAAATCGATAGACAGGTTATACAGAATTGACAACAAATCTCATTGGTTGAATAATAGCCTCACTCATTTGATACGATATAACACAAACAGTTTCATCAAGCAACAATTAGCTTTAAAGTGTGCCATTTACATCATTGCTGTCACTGCTTTTAAAAAATTAAGTGTTCATTCACACCACTAAAGAGCTTTTGTTATACAGTTGCTTCCATGATTGGTTGTAACAAGCGTTACACATATCTCTATGAAAGGATATTGTGCTTGAATGAGCTTTCTCTCTTGGTAGTGAGAGTGTCAGTCTTATACTCAATTTAGGTACACGGATTCAGCAGCACAAAATACTTACACAGGAACACATCTAGTGCATGCCTAATAAGTATTCCCTGCTCTGCCTGATAACACAGTCTTTTCCGTCGAACGGCATAATCCGCGCAGTTGCCCTCATGTAAAACTGGCTCCTTTATTTAGCATCTAAAAGGATGGGAAATGTTTTCAATTCAGATGCAAAGTGGGCCTTCATCCTCGTAGCTTTAGCTGCTGAAATCGAAAACAGCCAGTTTTTTTCTAACACAAATCAATTTTTCTGATAATCTAATTTTCTACGATCAGTTTTTTTTACCCTTAAAAAATAATTTATTTTGACAAATTCAACTTCACAGAAAATTGGTGGGTGATGGAAAATTGAGGCCAATATCAGCTTCAACAGCCAAAAGTACGAGGGAAAAGGCCCGTCAGGCACCAGAATGATTTTCCTGCCCTGTCAGAAGCAAAAGTGACAGCTACAATGTACCAGATTGGTAAAACAAATAAATATAATATATTCAAAAAGGCGTTTCTTTTTATTCATTAACCGTATGGAATGTGATGAGCTGGGTCACCTGAGGTCGAAAAAATTCAAATTGAGGAGTATTTTGTCAAGTATTGAAGGAAAACTCGAAAGAAATCTGAGTGTGTAGAGGTGGGATTGCACTTAGCCACTCCAGAACCACCTGGAAAGAGTATTTCATGCAATCTAACACCTTCTACTAGATCACTCCTCTACACTTAAGAGCAAGATAAAAAAGAATCACATTTCATCATGAATCATCACATCCCACTGCAATAGGGATAAAAAAAGCCCCGCGTTCACATTGCAAACTGGCTTCATGCAACTTAAAAGGTGATTAAATGGAGAGCTTGAGTGGGATGATGAAAAATGACAAATTCTACTAAGCGCTTCAAAATAAAATCAAGATTACAGATAAAAAATCCAAGAGAAAAAAGCTAATTGAAACTTTTAAGCACTGGTCCATTTTGAAGTGCTTGGGCAAAATGGTCGTGATAGGGACACCAGGACTAAACCACAGAAAACATTTATGTTTAGATGAAAGGCAATTATACACAGGCAAAGCAAAACAGAGAGCATGACATGTAGTACTTCAGTTAATGAAACAATTCTGACTCCGGTACGATGGGAGATCTCAAGAAGTTGGATGGCACGGGCGAAGGAGTTATTGAATGAAGGGAGTGGTTTAAATGGTCAAAAACTATGGCATGTACACTAAAATAGAGCACTTGTCTGAGGTTTGAGAAGGCAATAAATTGCTTGGTAAGGTAAAAGTAACTAAACAGCCAAACTTGTAATTATTTAGGCATTGAGTTTGCACATCTGCTTACCTTTATGGTGGCTCGGCGCAAACTGATAGTCCCTCTGCAGCCGTGACCAGCTTCTAGTTCTGATTTATAGTAGGAGAGGGTGCCATTTGAAAACACAAAGAACCTCCTTTGCCAACCGTGAATGTAATTAGTCCATTTATTGAGATAACCTTTCAACTCCACTATCTTGGATCCGTCATCAGACTCATCCTCCTCATCGCTAAGTATGTTATTTGCACGAATTTCCGTTGCCATAATTACAAGTAAAACAAAACGAATGGAATGATAAGAAGCGGATAATGCCGGTACCACAAAAAATTGAGGATAGACTACAAACAATTTGGTGATAAACAAAAATTTAGGAGATAAAAAATGACGACGGCTCACCTGTCCATGTTTCACTGCATCACCACAGAATATAATTTCTGCAGAGAGGCCGTAGACGTAGACGGTCGAGAAGCGACTTCACGTTGTCCCCCTGAATGGATGAAAGAGACAGAGACGTGGAGTACAGAGACGGACAGAGTCCAGAAGCAGTGAGCAGAAAAGCTGGCTTTTATGACGGGGCGGCTCTGGAATCACGAAATACATCCAGAGCAAGGATTCATTCTCATCAATGCCCACAAAAAATGATGACATAAATTGATTTTATGGCTGTAATCACGCCTGAAATCTATTCGACCTTTTCGGGTTGAAAAAGTGTGGCAAGTTCGATGATTCACCACGAATGATTTTGATTGGCTAAGAGGCAACTTCCGCGAACTTTTTCAGTGTGAGCGGATGGGCAAAGAAAAATACAACTTACTGAAAGGGTGGCGAGACTTCGGTTGTAGCCCAACTTTAAATTTTAGGTTGGTTTTAAAAAATCAACACGACAGAAAAATTTCGAAAATTTAAGGAGGACATTCCACGATGAAGTGAAGCCGAAGTTATACTTGAAACAAAATTGAAAACAATTAATATTCAATACACGTCCTGCGGACGTGTGTCTCTTGTTAAGTTGGACACTTGAGGGGAAAGTGCGTAAATTTCAAGTGGGCGCAGTTACCATGAAGATCCGAACTTGTTGACTAATGTATTGCACTGAAACTTTCATGCTTCGGAATAAAAATTTGGCAATATTTATGTATGAATACTTGCAGGAACTTCGACGATGTCTTATATTGTTGATGTTGTCTCTGAGGACTCGTTTTTCAAGAACTTAACTTTGGGCATTACAGATCATCTAAGTGAGTTGCAATTTCCGTAATAAAATGTAAATCCCCCCCCCCCCCCCCCCCGGCGCTTTGAAAACTTTGCTTGATCCAAGATTCACAAAGCTGTTAGAATATTTTGGAGTTTTTCAGCTAGGATACTCCCTCATCTCGAAGGTAAATTCAAACTACAGCCCCTATGACCATAATAAAATTACCTGAGTTAAAGTTGAATCTTCCTGCGAAGAACCTCTTGCATCTCACAATTTTTGGCATGATATGAGAAGACGAGTACTGATTAATAGCTCAATATTTCATGGTGAAAATTTAATGTTTTCCATTTGAAGGTGAGCAAATAAATTTTAGTTTCATCGTTTCCATTTTAGCTTTATAGCCTATCATCATAATGTGCTAATTTCATCCCATGTTGTAATATGATGAGGAATAAACAGAACTCTATCTGTTCATAAAAGCAGTGAAATGGGCATTATAATTAAGGCACTGGGTGCGAAAAGGGCACTTCTCGATTGCGGTGTCTCCGAACCTCTATTGCTAATTAATACCATATGCATGGCGAAAAATTTAATGGACGATTTTTCCAGAGTTCTTTCCATAGAAAATTGTAGAATCATAAGGAATATTCAGTAAAATTTTTAGTGAAATTGATGCATTCACTTTCCTTACAATAAATGAAATATTTAGAGGCGACTCTGAAACACTGCGATCAAGAAGTACCCTTTTCGCATCCAGGGCCTCAATTAACCCAAAGAATTAAATTCGCTTGAATCATCATGAAACAATTTAAATGATTCATTATGAAGATTATTGTAAAATTACAGTTGGAGTAGAAGAATTGAAGTAGAAAAAATAGTTTGAAGAATTTGTTTTCAACTATTGATCACATGACTGTTTTCCCATTCTCTCCTAGGTTTGTCCTCCAACATGATAAAGTCACACCTGATTTTTCATTCTTTCAGGCCAGATACAATGTATTAAAAACATTAAATTTGAAAAGCGACCTCCGTGTGAGCGAGCTGTGATTGCTGCCTGGGAGCAAAGGTACACTTGTATTCTCCCGGATGATGTACGGCAGTTTTACTCTTCTATTGATGGTTTCAGATTAACATGGGACTTTCAGTATGGAGGTATGGAAGTAATCAGAAAGTTTGAATCGATCTAGAAATCAGGAGGCTGGATTAATGAGGCTCTAGACTCAATCTCAAATCTTAACTCAGTTGATTCATTATATCTCCTCAGAAAACACATTTTTAAGAGGATGGCATTTCAGTTGTGCCAGAGAAGCATTTTTCACATTATTCATTTCTTTTGTTATCAGTTGAGAATCGCATCAAAATTTGAGTATCTGTTATATAATGAGTCTGTTATAATGTCTCAATATGAACTTTTTCACTGAGCAAAGCGTATCAATGGCAGAAGTATCAAATTCTTGTATTTCGGTCTGCAGTGTTTCAAATCTCTTGTCACAATAGTTCTGTTTTAAAAAAGGCTTGATTGTTATTTTTTCAACCAAAGCTCGTTTTGTTTCTCTTCGATTTTTGGACAGAATTCTCTGATAATTTCGTGCAGGAAAATCAGGCAGGGTTCCTAAGAAAAAATAAAATAGAAGCTGAAATTTTCAAAAAACCAAAATCAGTTATCGTGTAGTTTCACCATCAATATTTTACAGCATGTAAAATAACCTTCGTATTCCATTCAGTTGTATCTTTATAGTGCTATGCTGTTCTATATGATTCAATATTCTCTTGTTCATCAATTTTATTTTCAGATTCCCTCCTCCCCATAGGAAACATGTCAATCAACCCGATTTGTGAACTGCAGCAAATCGGGAAGTACTCTGAAACCTCGGAGGAAACAGACACACCTTCAATTTATGATGTTGAGCTGATGTACAGGACCAATGGCCTTTTGGCAGATAACGTCCCTAGTTTTGGGAGCAGCTGCAGTATTTTTGTCATTGAAAAACTCAAATACGATATGGGCGACATATGTCTTGTTTTCAACGAACAGCAGGAATACGGTGAAGACCCAAAAATCTGCTTCATGGATACAAGTTATGAATGGCACCTTATTGCTGACAATTTCACGCAGTATTTTAGAATGATGCTTGCGCACTTGGGCATGCCTCTTTGGCAGCTCAAATTAACACCGCTTGGACTATCACTTGAAGCTGATGTAAGCTTCCATATTCATCTCACAGTTGCGTTCTACAGGTCTACAATTGCATTTTCGAAACTTTTAAAAATAAGAGACAAAATAGGAAACATCCAATGTTCATCAAATAATCAAGCAATGAAGAGTGCGAAAAAATTGTAAAGATGAATATAACATCACTAATACAACTTTGAATCCAAAAGAATGAAAAAATTCTGAGAAAAATTTAACAAAGCACAATACATGTATATTTTGACTGATCAAAACTGAGCATTGGCATTTTCCATTATGAAGTTATTTCCCTACATTTGTCAAAGACCTGTTTTTTAAACAATACCTAATACTAATTTTCTCCGAGTTCTTTTTACTTTAAATTACTTTATGCAATTCCTTGCAAAAGTCGTCTCTTAAATTTTTGTTCACAATGTTTCAGTCATTGATTTCACTGATTGCTCCTCATCTATTGCAAACAGACGCAAGTTGTTATGTTCAAGCCCTGGATTTGAATGATTTTCCTAGTTCAAATCTTGACGCCAGCGTTTTCAAGATGAAGAAGCAACCCATGAAAGGCTAACAATATTGCTTAGCTAAAGAAATTACAATGAGATGCTCGATTAGGTTCCAGAGGCTTTATCCATGAAATAACATTCATTCTACTGGAGAAAAAAAAAACAAGAGGAAAAACAAAAGAAGAATTATGCTGAGTCGGAGTTATATCAAGCACAAGGCTAGTCCAAAAACTGATACATGTCTGGAGAAAAAAAAAACTAGAGGAAAAACAAAAGAAGAATTATGCTGAGTCGTGGCTATATCAAGCGCAAGGCTAGTGCAAAAACTGATACATGTCTGAAAACCAAACTTTTTTATTCCTTGGGTTTTATACTATGGTCTGCACAAGCAGATGTATTATTAGAAACATTGCACTATTCGATTTGTTTTGATAAAGCGTAGGAGGAACAAAGGTGTGAACTTGAAGGTATTATTATCTATGAAAGTCCATGTGACCTTCAAAATTGGATCAGCTGGCTGAATATTGAAATTGATAGGCAAACCGATAGACAAAGAAGACACAGTGAAAAAGGAGCTATCCTATTGGTGGAGGCGGTTGCGATGGATAAAGGAGGTAAGGAATAGACAAAATGGAATCCCTGACGGGACCCTATTGTTAGTCTATCATTTTCCTCTTTTGTCTATGATAACCACCCGTTTCCACTGATAGGATCGCTCCATTTTCCTTCTGTTCTCTTTGTATATTGCTTTGCCTATCAAAATCAATTATCAGCCTGTAGATAAAATGCTAGCGCTTTAGAAAAATCAGAGACTAATAAAGAATCTTGAGTATTTTGTAATTTAATTTTTATTGTGAATTATTTTTCCATGAATCAAAACTAGATGGAATAATTAAAAAAAAAGGAGAAAAACAATTAAAACAATATTTAAAGAAATAAAATACAACAGAATTTACACAAATAATATAATACACAGTCAAGAACATGCGTTTGGAGTCAAGCTTTCATTCGGATTCATAAAACGGTAAATCATTGGGGAAATTAGCTCGACTTACAATCATATTTACAACTATTGGGCACATAAATTACTTATTCCTAGGGTCAGTACCTGATTACTATAGCAGGCAATTTTGAGTGGGTCTTGGCTTTCAGAGAGCTTTGATCCTCGATGGAGGAACAAACGAAACAATCTTGACTGAGGCTTCTAAATTTTGTTTTTAAGCTGAATCGTACAAAAAGAGAGGTGAGAAAAGTCAGAGCTGCTGAAATAATTTTACTCCCTTGTCATCGAATTCCTAGAGTTCAGAAACAATGATATTCACGATGCCAATTACAAAACAAGTGATACATTTTCCCTCTTTTTGAAGAAAAATGTTTAAGTCATCATAAAACTTATTTAGGTTTCAGATTTGCAAAACTTATAGATTTTTGGTAACTTTATGGATACCGATTTGCCAATATTTTTTTTTTTTACAAATCTGCAACTCCCCCAAAAAATTTAAATGCGTCAGATTTAGAAAAATTACTGTGATGTCATTCTTATGAGGCAAAAATGGTTTCACGTGAAATATTTTATCTCTTTCTAACGCACAAAAAGAAATCATTTACAACTCAAAAAAACTTGGACAAAGAATGAATTTCGTATTGATGGGTGTCGGCACCAGTTCACACTTGTTTTAATCCCTTGACGGTTTACTTTTGCATTACAACTGTGGGTGCAATCTTTTCTCCTCTTTGACAAGGATTCATAAACAGCTGCATTACAATTTTCGTCAATAAAAAGATAACTTGGAGTTCGCTATGAAGATAAAATGCATTACAATTATAAATGAAAAGTATAATGCCATTTGTATTGATACTTCTTGTTGAGTTCTGATTTTGGTTAAAACTCATTAAAAAATCTGGTCACTCAACAGTAGAGCAACAATACTTGACAGGACTCAGGGCTGCTAATGAAACCGGTGTGTACTTGTTCAATTTTGCTCATCTTTTTTTACAGCTGTAACAACTTTTTAGCACCAAACAATCAAATTAAACAAAAAATTAAAAGTAGAACAAAAATTTAGAGAAAAAGTTACACTTTCCTTGGCAGGATTCACAGCACTAAAAACCAAAACTGACCCTATCGCATTAAAGTAGAAGCGAGAATGTACAATAATCTTGAGCTTCATTTTCGATTGGTAGAAAAAATTGTGATGCCTTTTAGAATGCAAGTGATACTAAATCAAATTTAGTGACTTTTCTGAAATTCACTTCATTTCTTTTGATGTGCTTTTACAGTTTGATAAATTCAAATGAAGCATAGGAGTACGAAGCCGTCATGGAGGAATTTTTTTAGCTAAAAAACAGTAACACTCCTGTATTTGCTTAAAAAATAAACACTACTTAAAGGGACAATTATTCATTGATAACCACTATAATATTCCTTTAAACACGGATTTCATTATTTTAAAAATATTCCTAAATGATAGTTATTTGTTATTCCTTCTTTTTTTAAATCGATATGACCGTGAACTTCAACAGTTTGCATTGGCAGCTAAGCATTTAGAAGTAGAAATCACTTAATTCTCCAGCAACGTCAAGAAACATTTTGGTGTATATTCTATACAGCTCGAAGAAAATGTACTGACCTCTAAAACCGAAAAAACCTTGTATCAGTTAGTATCGACAATGTAGTATTTTGACATAAGATGTACTAGTTTACTTTATCAACTAATTAAATGAGGTATCATCATTTCTACTCCCAGCTGCGCAGTTGGCCAACACATAGTATGCTGATAATCTAGGGGGGAAAAAATGCTGCATGCGATGCTTCATTAAATCAAAAGACTGAGGTCACAAATCGGGTCAGTTTTCCATTAATTATAAACAAAAGCACTTTAGAGATTCAAAGAATTTTACAAACACTTCTGTAAGCAGATCTAATGATAAGGAAAGGCTATTGTTTTACAGGTAAGCTGTACTTTAGGTTAGAATTAGGTCTAGAATTTAAGCAGCTGAATACATACAAAAGTGGTAAATTTTCTTCTGCAGACATGCTTATTACAAATCCTGGGAGAGCAGGAATTAGGATGCTTAAATATAGGGAGCTCACGTACCGATTCACCAAGGAGAGGTGATGGAAAGGCACATGAAATGGAAGATAATTCTGTAGATGATTTGAAAATTGTGATGTTACAAAACTCTCTTGATACGTTAATTTTAAAATACACCAATAGAGAAAAAATAACATTTTAAGTTCTTATGATAAAAATCGACTCAGGGGCACACACTCTTGATAATACCCTGAAAGGTTACAAAGAAAAAAACCACTCTTGTTTTTTTTTTAAGTTATGATCATAGGATTATTTGACAATAAAGAACGAAAATGCATGTTCAAGAGCAAAGTTAAAAGAATAAAAACAGAACAGAGCAAGTAAAAAAAAATGTAACAAAAAAGCATGCAGATTTTGACGAAGGATTTGAAAAGATTCAACATTCATCAATATTCCATTCTGAAGTATGAAACTTAGGGGGAGACCTCCAGGGGAGCAGAAAATAACCGATGATGCGCTCAATGTAAGAAGGCTCTAAAAATTTGGAGATTTACGAGGGTCAAAAGGCAAAGGAAAAAGAAGAAAAAAAGGTCATAAAATTTGAAATTGGAACATTCTGTGGAGAGCCGATGAAAGATATGCATATGGCCAGTGCGCAGGCTCAAGAGAGCATAGAAGCTTGGAAAATTCTGCACCTCTGAAAACCTCTTGGAAGTACACTGCTGTGCTAAGGAAAAACCCTCTAGGATTCTTTAGACGTTGCCAAAGTTCCTCTGATAAAATAATTATTTTTGAAGAAATACATTGAAAGCAAAATCAGGGACGAGTTCTATAGGACGCCGTTCTGTTGTGAGCGGGTGATTGCAGCGCATTCTCGCGTAGGATCCTAGTCAACTCAGAGGATCCTTCCCCCCGAACCTCGACTCATCCATCGCCCGCTCCAAAAGTGAGGTTAAGCCGGAGATTGAAAAATAACACATAAGGCGGCTGAATTCTTGAAAAATAAGTATATTTTTGGCGTTTTTCGACCCCTTTCGACAAGGAAGGGCTCGCCGCATGTAATAGTATAGTGAAAAATTCGATTTTTTGCAGTTATACGCGATCCTACGGATTTTAATGAAGTCCAACAACTGATAACAGCAGTGAGTTGCGAGGATCCTACGCGAGATAGCAGCACTAGTACCTGCTCACGAATTTTTACATTGACTCTTACGGGAGTCCAGGGTCCTATAGAACTGGTCCCTGGCAAAATCGTCTGAAAAATTTGAAGAAAAATATTCAAAATTCCCAGTAAATTCGTTTTTTTATTCAAGGAAAAAAGGCAACGCCTAAGGCCCCCTCTGCGCTCTTTTTTAGGACAGCAGTACAGAGCCAGTAACAGGATAAATAGAATTTTAACAGAACTGATTCATAAGTAAAGTGATTAGGAATGGGGCCTAGGTTTGGCGACCTTTAAAGAGACTGAAAATACAAATAGGTGTTTTAGATGACACTGATCAGGCTCCAATTGCCGTAGATAATTCATGACAAGAGTAAATTTCAGAAAAGTAAGGACCAGCATTAGAAGATTTGATACTGGATTTACATTCGCTATGGGATTAGCAAAAAAATCAATCAAATACGTTGATAGAGGGGTTTTCACACGAGAAGACTCGCACAGAAAACTGACTAACTAATTGATGCACCTATGATTGTAAAAAATTTCTAACATTCGAAATGAATCAATCATGATAAAAATAAAATTACGTACAAAAATCATGGAAAAAGCAGGGGAAAACGCAATATCTTTCGGATGGCTTACTTCAGTACCACAATAAAGAAATTGAAGTAAGAAAAAAAAATTTCTTTTCTCTTTTTAGAAAAAAAAAAAAACCCCAGATAATTACAGATTTTGAAGAATTGATGATTGGAGAGATTTGACTTAGGAAAAAAAACCTTTTAAAAATCTCT